CCAGATGCAGCCTCAAGGCACTCTATGGCCATTCTCTCCACAAAAACTCTACTGGGAAATCTCTCTTGAAAATCCCTGTGTGTAACGCCCAACAAGAAACAAAGTGGCTCCTATGACAAGGAAACAGGGCCGGCTTCCAATGTAGAATCAAATAGTCTAACCCATTCTCTTAACTTTAACCATATGCTCCTTTGTCCCCAGAAAGCAGGTCTTGCTGTTTGAGAAGTACACGGGTTTGAAGATCTGTTGGAAGCTTGCTTGTGTTTCGTGTGGATCTGAAAATGGGATACTATTGAATTTGAGAAGTCAGCCATGTCAGGCAAGCTCCAGGAGCCAGAGGTACCGCAGAATATGTGTCCCTTTAAGAGGGGATACTTTTAGCTCCTGCCAGAATTGCCTGGGGCTTTCTCAGCAGCTAAGCCTCTCTCCTCAGAGTGCTGATTACCCTGGCACTAGAGGGAAAAAAGATGAATATATTTCTTTTCAGAGATACTGTATCTAGATTTTGACATTTTATTTATCTCAACCTTTAAGCTTATCTTGCTTCAGTATGGTGAAACAGGCAGCTCTACCAAATCTCAAAGCTTAATCCACTGCAAGATGGAGAAGATTCTAAGGTGTAGTTAATTGTTCCGTGTCACATCATCCCCTTTTCCTCTCAGTTTGACTCCTGAGTGAACAACAACAGAAAACAAAACAAAATCAACAACTTGTTCCAGGATTAAGGTGTAATCAATGACAAGGCCAATTGGGAGCAAAAGCTCATTAATTTGGTACAGCAGCATCTTAACTCTGTCATACAGGGCTTGTTGATGGCTGATGGTGGGAGGTTTCCCGCCCTAGAACAGCACTACGAGGTCAGCTGCCTCTTGGCCTCTCTCCTGTTCTAACACCCCAAAGGCATTTGCCACTTTCCCCCTCTTGACTATTCAGCTGATAAATTTTGTAAAGAATAAAGGCTCAATTGAAAAGTGTAGGTATCTATTTGTTGGAGAAGAAGCCATTTCCCTGTTGCCCAGTATTTTTCTGGAGTAGGGCAAATGCTGCTCAGAATGTCACAGTGTTATATATATATAAAACCCTACATATATATATACATATATATGTATATGTGTACACACATACACACACATATATACATATACATATATATATATATATATATATATATATAAAATTGTGCTTGCTTACGTCTAGAAAGATCCACCAGAAGGCAGATGGGATTCTGAACAACAGTTAAACAGTGAAATGATTGAAGCTTATTAACTAACACGCCTGTAAGTGCGTGGGCTGTTATTTACAAATTGGTGACCTTGGGCACACTATAAAAATGAATTAAGAGGCTGCAATAATGCATCTCTACCATTTAGCATTGTGCCTGACACATATTGAGTGCTCAATAAAAGTTCATTTTTATTATTGTTGTTCTCATTATTATTATTCTCAGCATCATTGCCATTATTATTAAACTAGAAAGGTTCTGGGTTTAAGAACTTAAAGTCTAGTTGAAAAGAGAAAACATAGGGCCGGCCTGGTGATGTAGCTGTTAAGTTCGGCGTTCTGCTTCGGCGGCCCAGGGTTCACCAGTTCGGATCCCAGGTGTGGACCTACACACTGCTTGTCAAGCCATGCTGTGGCAGGCATCCCACATATACAGTAGAGGAAGATGGGCACAGATGTTAGCTCAGGGCCAATCTTCCTCAACAAAAAGAGGAGGTTTGGTGGCAAATGTTAGCTCAGGGCTAATCTTCCTCAAAAAAAGAAAAAAAAGAGAAAACATACACAGGAACAAAGTAAAGAAGCAACACTTATCTCATGTCTTTATTACAACACTTATGGTTGTATGACAGATTGTCTGTTAACATTAGATTTATCTTCTTCTGGGATCTGGCAGTGCTGGGTGGCTGCTTAAATATCTTATTTAATACAATTAGATATAGCAGGTTACATGTAAGTGCATTTCTCTCTGACTTTAACTGCACAGATCTTTGCCCCCTCTAGACAATGAATACCTGAAGGGAAGAGCTTGTGTGCTGCCAATCTATGTACTCACTCACCTGCCCCTCCCTGGACCAGAACAATCTAAGGCCTAAAGGACTTAATCAATACATCCTTGTTGACCAAATGAATGAGAAAGAAAATTATATGTTGTTGACCATGTAGTAGAGAGAAAATTGTAGTAGTCACTGGTCTGTTCAAAAACAGATACTTATCGAGTATCATCTATGTGTTAAGCCCAGTGCTCTGTGCTCTGGGTGCCATGAGGATATCTAAAATCTACCCTGTGCCCCGAGCAAGGCCCCAATTTTTGGCATGGGTAGGTTTTCTGAGAAGAAAGTAAGACATGATACAGGAGAAAATGAGCCCATACTTAGCAGCCTAGTCTCCGTCAAGCAGGGCTAAACTAGATGACTCAGAACCATGAGCCCCTCCCTTCCTGATCCCCATCCTTCACCCATCCAGCCCTGTCCCCCTCCTCCTTTATATTAATATCCCCAAAGAGGTTACCTAAAGACCACCTATTGGCCTCAGGAGCCACTCAAAAATGCAAGCCCTACCAAACCACTTGAGAAGTATTCTAAATATTCTTCCTTCTCCTTCCTTCTTTTCTACATTACATTTTCACTAAGGCATTTGCTTTTCTATCAAAATATTATAACAAGTAGTTCTAATAGTATAGAATACACACAGTAGTCATTTGCAACATAATGGCGTATATAACATATGACATGTATGGCAAATGACTATTGTGGGAATATTAGAAAAGTGAATGTTTGTGGGTATATTATATACGTATATGTATATGTGTGTATATAGATAAGTATGTATGTATGTGTGTATGTATATTTATGTGTGCATGTATGTGTGCATATACACACATCTCCTCTAGTGAAATGAATTTTAACACTGAAAAGTCAGCACGTCATTCTTGCCACACTTTCCCAAGCTTAAGCCCGTGGAGGTTGTTCGCTCAGAAGGGAGGCCTGATACTATTGGAAGGTGATATCATTTTTATTTCACTAACCCTTATGATCAGAAAAGAAGATTCTTTCTAGACTGGGGCATCGGTAACAATGCTCCATCAGAGTTAGAAGCACGTTGAACACGAGCTTCAGCAGTCTAGGACAAGCTCTCCTCATCTCCTAAAGCATGCCCTTCCCACCGCTCAGGTTGAGAGTTATGGCTACTAAAAGCCTCTGTCCCACTGAGACAGAAGTGCACATCTTTTAATTTTCGAATATGCCGACTACACTCTATAGGGCAGATGCACTGCAGAATAAAAGCTGGCTTTCACTTTCATATATGTACATACATTAGAGAAATCTATCAAGGAAGCATAAGCTTACTCAGAGGCATAGAGATTCTGATGAATAGGTACTGAATTTAAACAATACAGCAGGTGTCAGGCCCTTAATGCATTAAAGAATTGCATTTTCTGAGGCTCTTACCAAACTTCCCACACTTTTTTTCAGTGACATAATTTCCTTGGGGCAGAAACTCTACATAATTGACCTCCGAGCTGGAGGAGGAGTTCAATAGTCTAAATGCCTGACAACAAATAAAAGAATAGACTCTATTCTTTTCTTTAATCTACTAGGGTTTTCCTAATACAGAACAATTTATTTGGGGCTTGTTGTACATAATGTCAAGCATAATGGAAAACAGAAATTAAGTAAAAGTAAAATTTAATGAACAATCCCCTTTTTGGAGTATGGTAGATTCCTCTGGGGTACCTATCCAATCCGTGATCCTTCTCTTGTATGACAACTGCATTCCTCTATAGGGACAGGCCCTGCAACCAAATTACTACTACATAAATCAACTTTCCCTCCCCAGTCACTGTTGACTATACCAGGGGTGGCCACCTGACACAAGTGGACTCTTTCTCCCTAGACCTCAGTCTGAGACTGAGAGCTGATAGCCAGTCTCTCCTAGTCATGTGAATTGACAGGTGATGGAATCCTCCACGGATCTTATGTGGTGGACACCCACAGCTTTTGTCTGCACAAAGACCACTCCCTGCTTTTCTGTTATTAGTATGACCACTCAGTCCTTGTGTGCACATATGTGTGTTTCGGGGGCACGGGGACTAATCAGAGGTGATATCCAACAGTTAGCCATCGTTATGAGAAGGGCACTGACCAATCAGGACAGACCCTGGGCTTGCCACCAAGCCAGTGATCACTGACTATTATCCCTGAGATTGTCTCTATCCTCTCAGAGACTCAGAGATTTTCACACGACCCAGGCCTAACCAATCAGAGGTAGTGCTCTCTTAGGCTTCAGAGACTGGTTCAGATGTGGGCACATGACACAGGCTGGCAAAGAAGAGCCAATCAGGAATGAGATAAATACAGCCAATTTTTAGAAACAAAAAGAGACAACAGAACATACGTGTATAGTCTCCAAGAAAAAAAGGAGGAGAGAGCACCTGCTTGGGTTTCTGGGGACTTTTCTTTTGTGCTGGTATCCAATTGAATTAGTCTGTCCCTAAAGGATTAGTATCATATGTTGAAAAACTATTTCTTGCACACTCTATATGTGTGAGGGAATACAGCGTGAATCCTAGAGATAAAGGTGTGCATATAAGTTTGCGCGCACACCTTCAGGACCACGCAAGGGACGCGTGAAAGAGTGTTGCACTGGTAGTGTGCCTGGGTTCTGCAGACCTACAGGTTGTGTTGATCCCCTCTGCAAAGATACCTTCATTCTTTCGCTTCTGCTACAATAAGCTCACAGATAAGTGAGAAGTGTGTGAACCAAAACGCAGAAAGACAATCTAATGAAAAGTTTAGCAAAGAGATCTGACTGTGACCTAAAGAAGGGGTCTATAAAGAAGGTCTGGATCTGGCGTGCCTGGAGATAAACCCCAATTCATAGTTAAGACAGAAAGCAAACAGAAGGAAGGCATACACATAACCAGCAACCTTGCGGAGAGAGCAGTCACGGTCATTGTGTTTAAATAACATAGTAATTATTAGCTCAATTTATCCACGTACCTCCAAAGCGAGCTCTCAGTGATGCTCCCCAGGTTATAGTCATACAGCTTTGTCAAAATGAGAATCACCTGAAGGCAAAAGAAGACATCAGGGTTAGTCTCAAACAATTACAGTCTCACAGAATTGAAACGGCCCAAGGGAGGGTTTAGGATTCCTTTAATGGGCGCTTAACATAATTGAATGAATTGTTACAGCCTTCCCTTACCCTGACCGGGGAAGGGTTTGCCAATGCCTTCCATTAAACTGCTCAAGGCAGATCCCCTCCTCAACTTTCTCCCCCAGCTCCTCCCTCAACTCCCATGGCAGCAAGAGTTAGCTGCCCATCTAGGCATTTCTTACCCTGGTGGGCTTAACACTTTCAGGAAGGCTGACAGAGCCTTTAAATATACACCCTGCAAGGTAGCTACTGAGCACATGGTTGGAAGAGAGGAAGAAGGTCAACAATGTAGGTCCCAGCCCTAGTAGCTGTACCACACTGAGCAGGTTACTTAGTTTCTCTACACCTCAATATCCCCATCTATTGGGGGGTGCATGGGGGGCAGTAATGCTATCTCCCAGAAGGGGTTGCTGGGAGGAGTTAACTTAGGTAAGAAATGCAAATTACTCTTCAATTTCCATGGGGTTCTTAAATGTTAATCCTCCCCCTTCTTCTTCTCTGTGGGTTTGGCTTTAATGGTTTCCTGTGATCTCCCTGATCTTTTCTGGGAAAGACAATAGATAAAAGCCACAGGGCTAAGCAACAGCATTTTAACAGGAGCAAATCTATGTTTTATGGGATCCTGAAGCTTACAGAACTTGGGGAACCCTCTACTAGGAACAGAATATAAAATGATGAATTCAAACTTAGGAACAGGTCCTGGGAAGGGACCTGTGCAATTGAGGGACACTGAAACTTAAGCTCCATTAGCATCACAGCGAATCTTCCTCTGATTTTAACCTATCACTGTTTTCAACCTCTCTCAGAGGAGCCCAAACTATTTAGGTCATTCTTTCAGAATTCAACAAACACTTATTAAGCATTTATTAGGAGCCCAGGATTTTGCCTGATGCCAGAGGACATAAATACAAATGAGGCCTGGGAGTCCGTGATCCAGTTAGGACAGGATGAGTTCCTCAAGGAAAATGTTAGTTGATAGACAGTTGATTACCCCTTTTCAGTCCCAGTGAAACTCAGGCCCATCTCAATGAAACTCAGGTCCACCTGGTCACCTGAAGTATACAAGCACCAGGAGCCTTGGGAAGATGCAGCAGAGCAGTGAGTACCTAACCACCGATGTTCAGACCCCTTACTTGTTCTTCTTACATAAGGAAAAAGAACCTTACGAGTCCACTCAGTTTTCTGTTGAGGTCCATATTCCTCTCTTGATACTCATTACCTAGAACATTTGGCCCAGACCCGCTGTTTCCAACTCAGTAGAAAAATGCTGACATGGATTTCCTGGATTTTCTCTGAAGGCCAAGGGATCAGTTCTAGCCACAATGAGCATAGAACTTTCTAACCTTGAATTCCAAGGCAGCGAGCTGCTGAGGAGTGCTGAATCGTTCCAAGATCCACCGTGCTAGCACGAGGCTCGAATTACAGGCATAAGCATCACTGAGCGGATTGTGACACTTCTTTCACAGTAAGCAAACTGGAATTCATGACCTTAGATTTGTTCCAAGTTCAAGGGAATGAAGAACTATGGTAACCCAAATGCAGGTAGAGATCCAAGGAGCTGTGCTCTGAGGCCACCCCTCTCCTAAACTGCAGCACAGGCTTCCTTCAAGGACCTATTCAAAACTTGCTTCTTTAGCAAAATGTGAGCATGTGTGAGGTACTGGGCACCCTACGGGCACATCAGATGGCATGCCCGTGGTGGGGGCATATGCTAAACAGATCCATGTGCCAATTAAGTGGCTCTAAGTGCTAAATTTCAATCACCACCATCCCAGGAACACTGATCAGCGGCAGCGGGGTAGCTGTTTGTTTGAAGACACAGAGCCGTGTTGCTGCTCCACCTCAGTACGATTTTGCCGAATAGGCCTATAAATCCCCTACTAAGAAAATGGGGTTGTGGGCATAAAGCATTTCTAGGCAGTTGCTCTCTTGATACAATATGGCAGTAAACTAAATAATGAAGTTCAGCTGGTCACAAGCTGCGTCTCCCATCCATCTGCAGAGGGAATTCAGAAGAACCTCAAAGAAGGAACTTTTTCACCCAGCATGTAATGGTGTGGAGTCCCTCAGGCACACACACACAAAGTGTTTAAGCAATTCACAGGCCGGCGGGCAGGGAGGTAAAAATCCACTCCCTGACTCTTCTTGCTGGGCTAGTAGAACTCAAATGCCAGTGATACACTCGGCAGTTTATCAATACTGCACCAGAAGAGGTGTCCTTTATGGCATTTCAAAGGATATCTGCTTGAACCAGTCTAATCTTTCTGTTTTCAGAACAAGAGCAAGAAAGGGAGAACTGCTAACCTTTAGTTATGTTTTCAATCGATTATTTGAAGTCTCTCTTCCTCTCTTTTTTCCCTTCACTGTCCACGTGCATTATTTAGCACCTTACTCCTGGAGAGTGAGGTGTCGTTATATTATATCTGTTTGGTGGTTGGTTGGTTGTTTTTCTGTTCTGTTTAATCAGCAATACTATTTAATAGAATTAGTGCCTGTTCAAAGGGGCATAGCCCAAAACAGCACTATTAGATGAGAAAAAGGGGAAAACACACTTGCCTGCCTATTCTTGTCCCAGTGTTTACTATTTGTGCCTACTTTTCAAAGTAAAAAAAAAAACAATGAAACTTTTTTTGGGGGGGAGGAAGATTGGCCCTGAGCTAACATGTGTTGCCAATCTTCCTCTTTTTTTGCTCGAGGAAGATTTTCACTGAGCTAACACCTGTGCCAATCTTCCTCTATTTTTACATGGGACGCCACCAAAGCATGGCTTGATAAGTGGTGTGCAGGTCTGTGTGCATGATCTTAACCAGTGAACCCCGGGCCACCGAAGCAGAGCGTGCAAACTTAACCACTATACCACCAGGCCAGCCCCCGTGGAACTTTTTAATTGAGTGAAATGTTATATGTCCTTAAATAATACATAGTGGTAATTTATTTTTATTCATTCAGTAAACAATTTTCAGGTATAGATTTGATTCTATGAGTCCAAGTGTACAGCATTTAATTATAAATCCAATCAATGAGAGCAAGGCTGTTCTGATCAACAGACACTCACACACAATGGAATACCCATCATTTCTTTTATATAGTACCAAAATATCCCTGACTCAAAACAATAAGTGGTGACCATATGGTAGTAGTTTTTTAAGATTCCTCTCTAATCTTAGGATACTTTCTTTAAATAGCTATAATCTAAATAACTATGGCTTAACAACTTCTACCTACATGTGCAGGACCTCAGTGCCCAGTTATTCTAGGACTTTCCGCAGTGACATGTCTAAGTATCCCCCAGGCAGTCAAGGAGCTGCTGTCACCACATGCCATCTGTCTTGTTCTTTTGCTGTGGCTCCTTCCTGCCATATCCATCACTAACGGAGCTTCTGGGGTGAACTTCACTTCGTCCATAATATAAAGAGCATGCTGAAGCCCACCCACCAAGCTGCTATTCTCAAATCATCTGTTCTTTGGAAGGTGGGAGGGTGCCACAAACAGTGCCAGGATGAGTGCAGGTCCTCGAAGGAGTGACCGTGGGCTTCCTCCACAGTGCTGAGTCACATTTTCACCACCTGGGCTCACCAAACTATTATCCCTTTTCCCAAGGTCTTCCAGAGCTCTACTGAATAATTCCACCAACTCCAGCCTCTCATCCCTCACCTCTGCACACAGGCGTTAAGAAACCACCACGTAAACAAAATGTGGCATTACATTTAATATACAACGGAATATGAATCGGCTATAAAAAAGAAGGAAATCTTGCCATTTGCAACAACGTGAACGAACCTGGAGGGCACTGTGCGAAGTGAAATGTCACACAGCAAAAAGACAACTACTGTATGGTAATGCTTATATGTGGAATCTTCAACAAAGAAAAAACAATTTCATAGGAACAAAGAATAGAATGGTGGTTGCTAAGGGGCTGGGGGAAAGGGAAATGGGGAGATGTAGACCAAGGGTACACACTTTGAGTTATTAAAAGAATAATTTCTGAGGATCGAATGTACAGCACAGTGACTATAGTTAATAACACGATACTGTATACTTGAAAGTTACTGAGAGTAAATCTTAAGCATTCTTAATAAAAAAAAAAGCAAACAAAAGAAAAACAAAACAGAGTGTTAACTATGTGAGGTGATGGATGTGTTAATTATCTTGATCTCGGCAATCACTCCACAACGTATATGTATATCAAATCGCCACGTTGTACACTTTAATTATATACAATTATATTTGTCAATTATTTCTTAGTAAAGTGAGGGAAAACAAAAGAAACCATCACAAAGGACCTTGGGGGAGGAAAATGACAACCTCTTCCTTCCCCCTTCTAACACCAACTTCTTTCTGCGATTGGTTACAAAACATAAGCATTCACAGAGGTAAATAAAGACACTTGTTTGTTGATGACTGTGTTTTAGTAAATCAACAAAAGCCAGTCAAAAATGTCCTGTTGTATCAAAAGGGCAGGGCAAGGCTTGTTTCCAGGTATGCGTTAGAATGAATTAGCAGGGCAGCATGCCGGGTTAATACGTCAGCAGTCTCCATTATGCCAAGGATGTAGACATGTGACATCTGTGAATGTGACATTTTTTTTTTTAATATAAAAATATAATTTAGAAACAAAACCCCAAACAGTTAAGGAACCCCTAAAACACCTCCCTGGTAACCTGATGCTACACAGTATACTTTTGAAAACGTCTACATTAATTACGTACTATAGAGAACTGAAATTCATTCCATACTTCCCAAGTAACAGCATAGGAATTCTCCATTTATTTTCTCAAGGAAAAACATAGTGCCTTGACCTTTTCCTTTGACAACTTAAAGAATGCACCTCAGAGGAAGGGCTAATGGAGGGTTGTGGGGGTTGGTGTATTTTCAATTCCCCTCACTCCTTAAGGAATGAATATATTCCTC